TATCACGAAGAAAAACAGAATATCATAGCAAAGTTAATTTACATATTAGAGGGATATATTTTTCTGAATGCAAAGCAGGAGCAATAAGAATTATTTATGCATGCTTAGGAATAATCAAATTAAATAAAAATATGAAACTATTAATTTATTTGAAACTCTTCTTTCCATTTGGAAACCAATCAACTACATTAAAAACAAAAGTGAGATCTAGTTGCAGTTAATAGACAATCTAGCTGTGGCTCCTGAAATTTTGAAATTATATCTGGCAGCTCAGACTGACATAAAATTTGGCCACCCCTAAGCTACTACTACCTACCTTTTTTTAAAAAAAGGGGGGTTAATAAAAATCTCGATGAATAGAAAAACTTTTTTGGTTATATAATATGTAAAAACCAAAGAAACTTGTAAAATAACAAAGAATTGTTCAGAAAACTTTCAGAATATTTAGTTTTAAACTACAACTGAAGAAACCAATATTTTTTTAAAATTTAAATACTTCTGTCTTCATTTTTAAGTTTGCTCAAATGCTTTTTTTTTCCCGGGGGCAGGGATATCATAATCTAAGGAACTTTTGCTATAAGATAAAATTAAATAAAAATTTTAAATGCTATACTTACTGCAAGAAAACATTGTACAGATGCTTGTATAGCTTCAATATAAAAATATTCTATGACGCATCCTTCAACAGTAGTTGGAGTAGGAAACATTAAAGGATCATCATGAGAAGAATTGTATATTGGTATGCAGCCTGCTCCATTCACTAACCACCAACTACGGCTGCCAGTACCCATGTTAAGAATGTGAGTATCCTTTAGGAAGAAAAACATAATGCAAATAAAATATGTAATTTTAACCAAAGTATAAAACAAAAAACCTTTTTTATATAGAGGCAGATTACTCTTATTAAAAATTTTCTACAGCAAAAATAGTTCACATCTCTATTACATAACAAAAAACACTGGAACATAGTTAAAATACTAAATTAAATAATCAGCATCTGCTTTTTCAACTGTAACCCAAAGAGGTAAAAAAATAAAATATTCCTATTACATAACCTAAAATTTGAATCCTATACATATGAAAGAAGATGACTTGGAGTAAACTGCAATGGATTGATAACGGTTCTCTGCGTTACAACTTGGAGATTTAGTGCATAGATAGACAGATGACACTTAAAGGAGAGACTTGTAGACATGGCCAAATTGAATATAATTTTTATTGCTGGATACAAACTAATTATTGAAAACATACTTTTCATCATACATGATCATAGGTACAAAACGTACCCCGCAATTTTATACAGAGTATCACATTTTAGATAACAGTGTAGTTAGCAGCACGTCAAAACAAAGGGAGTGAAGTAGTGTCAAGATTGCAAAAAAGCTGAAGTGAAAGTGTGCAATTATCCAATATGGAAGCTCACCAAGAGAAAGTTTGAGTTTAGGTTAGAGATGTTTCAGTTCTCAAAATTTTGAAATCAGGTTCTGAATTAGCTACGACATCAGCGTTACTTAAGCCATGCGAGATGGATTGATCTAGAAATGATGCAGACCAGAAAAATTATTATGATTTTCATAATTTCTCTGTTTCCATACAATATTTTTAATCCTGCACATATGCCTATATATTTATAATAAAAAAGAGCTAAAGCAATAAAAAATAGCAGCAGGATTCTATGGAAATCATAAATGCCAGTTCAAATTAAAAGAATAAAACTTTATCTTTATGGCAATCTTCTCCCGTCAGCGATTTGTGGGAGTTTATAGAAAAAGGTATGAAATTAATCTAAACAAGTTATGAAATCAATTTTAATTTTGCCTTTGAGATGACTTTGCTACGGCATCAGATATGTTACTAAATTGGACGTTTTAATTTTGATGGTAACATTAGCACTATTTCAGATTAAAAAAATTAACTTACCATATAAACCTGCATATAAGTCGAATATTTTAAGAAATAAAATCATACCCCCATACAAGTTGAAAATTTTAAGAAATAAAATCAAATTTTGAAGTAGAGGTTGACTTATACACTGAACCTAAAGAAAGGATCCACAGAGGAGGTGGCCGCTGATTGATGACAAGTCGGTGAACTTGATTATTAAATATATCATTCACACAGAAAAAACAAAAAATTGTTTATTTATTCTTCCTTTTTTATTTAGTAGTTCTTCCCCCCCCCCATTTCATTTCATCATCTGGCATCACAAACCAATTCAATCTGTACAATATCTGCGAGATGCTCTTTAGTTAATATAACCCTATAGAAATAGTAACTGTAACCATACTAAATACAGGGGTGTTTGTGAGACCCCAAAAAATCCCCTGAAACTTTTACGGACTTACTACCGACATTTTGGAGTTTCGAGAAGGGGAAGAGAAATTACAATTATGAAGTATTGAATTACCTTATTATAAAGTTCAATGTTACTTTTATGCAATTATAACAATAAATTTTCCAACATATAACTACTAATTTTACGTAAATATTTTAAATTACCTGAATTAATCCTTTAAAAAAAATTATCTAATTTCTGCTGCTTTTTTTATTTTCTGATGTTTGTGGCTTGTCTTTCTTTTGTGGTGAACTTCATAATTGCAGGAAGGTTGACTTTTATTTTCTTCATTTACAGTTGAAAATTTCCTCGAGAACTGTACATGCAGAGTAGAAGCAGTTTGCTTTCTGCTAATGTAGAAGATTTTTCAGAGACTTTTATAGGTGCTCTCTAAAATACATGTTTTTAAGTCCTCTTGATATGTTTTCCAATTCTATTCATATTCAGTAAAGATCTTGTGAATGGATCAGTCATTGATTTTTTGAGCCATATTTTTCACATGAGGTTTCTTTAGAAGCCATTAAATCATATTTAATAGTCTGCACTGCATCTAGGGAACAATCTTAAGAGAGGTTCTATAGTCAGTGACAAGTGTATCCATTAAGTTGAATGCACTTTCCACTAATGGCATGAAGCAGCAAGGCAGCTTTGACCATTTACCACTGTAAGGAGACTTATAATCATTTGTTAATCATCTTTTAAATTAAAAACTTTATAGTATATATAATTTACACTTGACTTGATTCACTTTCAACAATAATAATGTAAGCATTTCTTTGTGATATCAATATCACTCGGTATAACTTATTTCAGCTTTTCTATCTACTTGACTTTCATTTATCACACTAAAAATATGGGACTAAAAGTGATATTTTTCAAGCTTAGTGTCCTGGTTTTACTAATTTAGCTTCTGATCTAATGCTGTAAAACTAATTCGATATGGATTTTTAGGGGTAATTTCTGTTTCATATGCGGTGCTGTATTATATAAGCTTCCATCATGAATTTGGAATCCTTTTGGCTATTGGATGATTTTTTGAATAATTCTTCAGTAGAATGGGAAGCTCTGCCCATGGAAATATTACTTTGCTAGGTAGATGGCAAATTCTGATTTTGTGACACAACCTTTAATAAATTTATAAGATGTGCACTCTATATTTTCGGCTTCAAAAAAAAGAGAATAATTTGCCATCGATTTAATAAATACGGGATGGATTAATGAGCATTGTTTTTTTTTTTTTTTTTTTTGTTCAAATAATTAATATAGGTGTTTAACCTTGTAATACTGCTGAATATAATTCCATACGGCCATAGTTGTTTTGGCTAACCAATACCCCTTTATTATTCTTTTTTTCCGAGAAGCAAAATACAACCCTTTCACATTTTTTTTTTTTTTTTTTTTTCCTTTTTTTCTTTTTTTTTCTCTTTTCTTTTTTTTTTTTTTTTTTTTTTTTTGCGCTGCCGAATATTTCTTTTATTGTATACAGTTTCACATCTAGAAATAATCCCCTTATAGTTTTATCCAAGTATTGAAAAATAAAATGCAATAAGAGCATCCCCACAGATCTTGATTCTTTCTAAAACACATAAAATTTAACCCACCTATGGTCTGGTCTCTTCAGGTCTTAAGTTTTTACTGCAAGGGATTAACATATTTTGAAAAAATGTTCTCTTTTATGCAGCTTTCATATCAAATAGATGTCAGCACACAAATCTTCTAAGTATCTATCAAAACAGAAAGCAATTTTTTTTGACCGTTAGAGCTGTGTGACATGTGTCCCATCATATCTAATAAGTGGGGTTCTTTGTTTGATCGAGTCTGGTTTCAACACCCTTTTTTTTTTCCACCATGGTGTTACATGAGTCCATTATCACAATTAAGTTTGCCCATGGAATATTATTATCTTCAATAGTATTACAACTGCTTTAAAAACTGCTTCTGAATTGCAAGATTCCATCATTTTAGAGATGCAAATGATAAACTACAACTTCACTTTGATTTTGTCATAAAACTGCACCAATATTGCCAGTATACTTTCTTGAGCATTGCTAGTATTTTCATCAAATTTAGAGAAAATGGAGTCTCCTTAAAGTTTAATGATATTTCCTTATAGTTTTGCAGCCCATATTTCATCTATAAAATGCAGATCCTGGACATTTCCAACGAGTTTAGTGCCGTCTGATCGGGCTCAACTGTTTGAGAGTTCAATTAAATTGGGAGCTACATTGAAAGAAAGATAATTCTCGGCGATAACGAAGTTATTAATACCTCTTCGCGTGCTTTTCTTGTCACTATATCCAATGGCCGAGCATCATCTCCAGTAAGTCATCAGTATTTTTTTAATTAGCATAATTACTTAAATCATGAATGTCTAATGCACTTTGAATATTTTATGCGTCACAGTTTTAGAATGATTTGTGAAAGCCTTGAATCCTTCCCCACCATACTTCAGCAGCGAGTTACAAAAAACACAATATGCTTGTCCAGCAACATTTTTTCTTGCACCACGTGCCCATGTTATCCCCATTACCATCTCTCCGTTCAATCCAATTCCACCTAAATGCATTCCGGACACCTTCTTCTAAATGTATAATATCATTATTTATATCGAGAAATTTCATAATGAAATTCTCTTGCGTACATAAATTAAAAAATACTTCAATAAACGAAACGAAAAATTTACACGTGCATCAATAAATGAAACGAAAATTTTACACAGCGGAGAAAAAAAAAGTTGAGAAGCGATCAATGACAAATAGCTAATATGGCAAAAAATCCCCCTTCTCTACTTATTTGATGCCACGCCAGAAGAGATAAGACCTTTGAACCCAGAGTCACGTGATCGCGCATCTGGTCGAACGAAGTCTCTCCCTTTTTTTTCTGCCGCGCCTACTTGCCGAAAAGAATCCAGAAGAGAATGTCCGAGAACTGGGGGAATGAGTCATAACTCGCAATAAGGAAAGAACAAAAAAGAAGTTTTTTCCCCCTTTTCACGCATTATCACTGCCTTTGGAGAAAGAAAGGAAAAGTTTTCACCACACACACTGACCTTGCGTTTTCTGCTTTCAAAGCATACAAAATTACCCAGATCAAAATAAATAATTCATTATTATTCCTACTGCCTTTTGAACGACGATCCCGGAATTTCCGGCTATCGAAGTTCAAAATCCCCGGAGCACAAACACCCTTGTAAATAAGTCATTGATTACAACTTTTTTATCTTGATTGAACATGTGCTTTTTTACTTTTCCTGCTTTTTGTAATGTCTGATTTATCGGAATCTATAAAATAACATCTCTCTCCAGAGCCACACACTCCCTGCAATGAGTTGTGTAAAACAAAAGAGTGTTTTACACTGAGAAATGATGATTGAAGAATTCAAATAAAATTCTTTGAAAATTTTGTATATATTTTAAAATTTTATCATGAAAACTTTGTATATATTTTATATTGGTTTGATACAGGGAAAAAAAA